TCCGCCCCTCCAATGGTCTGAGGGACAGTGAACTGGCCCCTTGTTTTAAAAGTTTGAGGACCCCTGTCCTAGAATAACCCGGAACATCATGGGTCCCTCTGACTTCTTCATATCTCCTCTGTATTCTTTTGCCCGGCTCTTTCTGTGAACTCTTCTTCCAGCTTTAATGCAAGCCAAGCCCCCGATAGAAGTAATACAATGATGACCATTTCAGAAATGAGGAAACCAGGATTCAAGAAGATCTGGCAACTTGTTCAAGGCCAGAGGGCAGGCAGGGGCCTGCATTTGCACCGAGTTCTGTCTGCTCCAAATCGTCGCGATGATGCTGTCTCCTGCCGCCGTTGCTTCTTTGCAGACCCAGATGATGGGGACTCCTGTGACGTTTGCGTCTGGCCACTGTCCCCCACGCTACCCCGGTGTTCCAACCGGCTGGTACTCCTTTCGCTCCTAAAGGTCTCCACGTTTTAACAAAGTTGATCACCACTGTCCACAAATACTCTGTGGCTTCTGACGAGGGCATTAGGGGCATTAGTACCAGAATCCCAGCTACCTGCTATCTCACCTGGAAGTCACATCTGAATCTTAAAACACAACTGTGTCAATTCAAATCTGTTTCCTTCTAAACCTGTTCTTCTTCCTCTGTGTTTCTGGTCCCTTTCATGTGTCCCTGAAGACACTTCCAAGGAAGTCCAGGAATCAGGAGTGCCCATTCTGTCAGCTAACTCTTTAATCCTGGAGAAATCACACAGGATGGTTACATCTTGATATTCTGGCTGATAAAGCAGCCATGCATATGAGGACCAAAAAGATAATATGGCAGATTATTATGCGAGCATACACACATAAAGCACTGTTAGTATTAATAATACGTCTTGTGAAAAGCCGTTTTCAGACAAATGCACAATTCAACTCATACGAAGTATTTCGACTCGTCCATTTCATAAAGACCGGAAGTAGAATGGTGCTCGCCGGGGGCTGGCAAGGGGGAGTTCTGTTTAGTGAGTAAAGAGTTCCAGTTTTGCAAGATGGAAAAATTCTAAAGCTAGAGAGTGTGATGGGTACCACGCCAGCGTGAATGTACTTCATGCCACGGAACTACAGGACTCCGAAACGGTTCATTAAAATGATAAATTTTATATTACGTATATATGAACCCAACTTAAAAACAAAAAAAGACATTGTTTCAATGGAATCTCTCTTTTCCTGAGGAGCCAGGGGTAAAAAGCTAAGTTAATCAAAGTTCTTGTCACGGTACATGAACAGCTAACACGTGAGCTAGAAATCAACCCAGTTTCGTGTGAAGTGCAAAATAAACGGTGCATGTATGTTGAGTAAAGTGTCTGGGAAAAATGATTCTGAGAGAGTGGACCCCCGCAAGAGAAGCTAAGGAAGGCAATGCCAAATTGTAGACTCTATGATGAGTCTGGATGCTGGTCCCCCCAAATCTCATGTTAACGTGTGGTCCCATGTGTTAGAGGAGGGGCCTGGGGGAGGTGTCTGGTCTTGGGAGTGGATTCCCCCATGAATGGCTTGGTACCCTTCTCCTGGCAGTGAGCAGGTTCTTGCTCTGCTATTTCCCAGGAGAGCGGGTTGTGAAAAGAGCCTAGCACTTCTCTCTCTCTCACCTCCGCTCTCACCAAGCAACACGCCAACTGCCCTATCTTCCGCCACCAGTAAAAGTTTCCCAAGGTCTCACCAGAAGCCCAGCAGATGCCAGAACTGTGAGCCAAATACATCTTTTTCCTTTATAAATCACCTGGCCTTGGGTATTTCCTTATAGCAATGCCAGATGGACTAAATACACTCTCTTAAGGGTGAAAGAGTCATGAGAGCAAGGAGAACAGCCAAAGCAACAGATCTGTCCCCCCCAAAAAGGGCCAGAAATGAACATGAAGTCGCTCGGCTTGCGAGAAGGCAGAGCTGTGAGTACGGAAGCCAGCGTGTGTGTGGCCGCAACTTACAGGCATCCAGACAGCTATGGACAATGTTCATAATTACATAATGACCTACAGTAGAATACTGACCCAAGAGGAAGCACCATCTCTTTTCTAGAACACTGATCCCACCATCATAAATACCTTGGCCAACCAACTATCAGTGGTTTGTAAGAGCTTAAGATTCTTTGCAAATGATGCGCCTAAAATAATATCACTTCAGTCTCATAGGTTTTATTCATTGCTCCCTCTTCTACAACAGCCCTCTTACAGACACTTAAAGAATGATTCGGCTTCGAGAGAAGGTGAATATTAATTAGAGACGGTCATTTTAATTACCTGAAAGTGGCCAATTGACCCTGTATTGAGACACCTTCAAATCCATTCAATGCATAAAAATAACTGAAAAAATTGTTATAAGGTACTTTATAAATGGAAGGTGTCACATAGTCTATAATCAGAATAATCATTGTTATATAAAATAATTTCCTTCGGGAGGCTGAGGTGAGTGGATTGCCTGAGCCTGCAGGTTCGAGACCCGCCTGGGCAGGTGAGACCTCATCTCTACAATAAATTTAAAAAAAAAAAAAAATTAGAAAAATAAATAAATAAAAAAAATAATTTAACAGCCACAAAGTGACCATAATGAGCCTCTCTCATTTCAAGAAAACACTACTTCCATGAGACTGAAATAATAAGACATAAGTGTCATTAAGCTATCACTTTAAAAAATAAATGCTCAGCAAGAACAAAAACCAGTATAAAAAACAAAATTCAAGCAAGACAAGGAAACTGGATGAAATGTTACTCTATGTGTAATTTTTTTTTTAATGTCGTAAGAAGGATGCAAGACTGTGACCCATAATTCCAGATAATATTCAACAGATATTATAACCTCAAACAGATCATACTCACCAGATTATTTACAAAAACTTTTTTTTTTTTTTTAATGTGCAAGATCTAGAGAAATGGGCAATCTATGTCCTGGTCTGTTTTTCAACGGTAATTTTTATGACTACACAATGAAAACATTCCAGGAAAAAGAGAAAGATCTGGCATAAGCTGACTTCCATTTCTTGGTTATGAAAGCAAAAATTTGTATTCGAAGGAGACCAGAAAAAGCAGAAATTACTGTCTTAAATGTTCAATAGACATCTCCTAATGTGGGTCACCACTCTTTTGAAGATGTGGGATGCTAATAGGGTATGGCGAATTAAGCAACAGAGAAAATGCCAGAGCAGAAACTGAATTCCGGACGGATCTTAATGGCTTAGCTGGTTCCTCTACCTATAAAAATCAGGACTCTCGCGCTGCTGTTGGTGTTAGGTAATTAACAGCCGTAAAGCATGCTGAAAGTAGAAACTGCTAAATAAATAATGACTTAATGACTGCCAGAGAATTTTAGCCATAATGTGCTAAATAATAGGGATGAAACACGGGCTTTAACTTTACCATTTTGTTTTCTAATTAATAATGGGAGCGAGACTCCGATCTCATTAAGATGGAGTCGGTAGTGTTAGACAACAAGTTAAATTTAGAGGCTAGAAGGCACAGAAGGGCTCCTGTTGCCCAAGAGCAATTGACTCAATGCTGATGTAGCCATGAAAATACAGTCACAGGCTATATTCCTATCGCTACAGAAACATCACAGCTCTGTCTGTGTCTACATTCTGCTTAATTCTCAGCTTGAGAACCCACTTTTTGAGAATTTCCATTTATTTCAAATTGATTTTGAAACCTTAAATTTTTTAGTAATGTTTTAAATTATTTTCGGGAAATAGGCAACACAATGATGTCTGCTAAAATGATTGGTCTCTACCTTCCCAAATCTCTTGGAGTACAATATTTACAAGATTAAAGGTCTATCTAAGAACTTTCTGGGCTTTTTAGCCTTCCATACTGAAGGAATAAGGACAGGGAAGATATGAGCATCAATTCTATGATGTTGCTTCTAAACTTTTTATTCCAGTGGTGGTATGAATATGTCATAAGATTTAAGATATGGACCAGAGAGCAAGCACTACTCTACTAGTCATACCTATTCTTTTTTTGGTTTGTTCTCATGTACACTTGAAATAATTGCTGAATACTACAAAATCTAACTTAAAAAAAGAATTATAACTCATAGAAATATGAAAAAGCCTTAGAGATCAAATCCATTCTAATTATTTCTCATTAAGAATACATCTAGAAAATGTGGTCTTCAACCGAAATCCAAAATGAGATTAAGGTTCTGTTGACAAAATACATTGTTCTATAAATATTCTGTACACTGTAAGTAAGCTGTAGTAGCTATAAAGAGTAGTTTTAACATTACTGAACAAACAATACTAAATCCTTTTATTATATATAATTAGTATATTTACATAATGTTATTATATATGTGCACATATGCGCACACATATATAATAAAAATCCTGTTTATTATATATTTGAAAATAAAGTCATGCTCCAGTTACTATTTTGAGGAAAAATTAGACATCTACAGAAGGAACCAAAGTAAAGGGTATTATTCACATTGAAATACAAATATATAATTTTGGCTTCATAATAACCAGGACCTCGAATACCAGTTTTAGTGACTCATATTAATTTAATTGTGACATTAGCTTTTCTAATCACAGATGTAAAAAGACCACTGTGTTCCAAACATAATTATCTCACCAGCATCTCATTTCATGAAATTATTAGTTAAGATGAGAGCCTCTGAATAATTTTATATTTGATTAGTTTCACTTATTTAAGAACACTGAATAATTTAGGCTCCATTCAAACGGAAAGCAAGCAAGAGGGCACTTCTGAGAAGCCTGCATTCCTCCACACCCTGCCATTTCCAGATAGACCCTACATGCTTGCCAACAACTACTAACTGTGCATACCTTCCAGGTGAAGCCACAACACGACTGACTGTGCGTACCTTCCAGGTGAAGCCACAACGTGACTAATAGTGTATACTTTCCAGGTGAAGCTACAATGCGACCAACTGCATACCTTCCACATGAAACTACCACGTGACTAATTGTGCATACCTTCCAGGTGAAGCCACAGCGTACTAATTGTGCGTACCTTCCAGGTGAAGCCACATCAATCGCCCCTTCACACTGACCACGGAGGCCACACACAGTTCTCCTGGATTCCTGGGGTTCACAGCTTCAAGTTTCATGTTCTTTGTGAAACCCCGACTAAAGGATGTCTGAAAGAGAAACAGGACTGTCACTAAGCCAGCAGTTACCGTGGAAGGACAAGGGGTCACAACAGAGCTGGAAGAAACAGAAATGCAGAGGCGCGTGCACGCCTCTCATTATAAGACAGGGCAGCTCGTGCACACGGTTATCTTTCTCACCATTCATGGCACATGCAGGTGCCTAAACCTATTTGTTAAATGAGTGAGAGCATGAACACGTTCTTTCTTGTTCCATATGCATCTTTCCTTCTGTGGAATCAATGAAGTACACATCATTTCTTCCACTTTCCTACATTCCTTGATGAAGTCACACCTGGGGATATTTGAGAGCGTTGAAGTCGGGAGACTTCACTTGGCATCATTTTCCTTTAAAGAACATTGTAGAATGTCCTTTAGAATTGCTCATAGTGTAGGTCTCTTGTCGATGAATTTCCCCTGTTTTCTTTTATCTGAAATTATCTTTAGTGTTCTTTTGTTCTTTATTTTTCTTTACTTTTCAAGTTCACATTAAAAATTTTTACCTATCGTAAAATTTACGCTTTGCAGTATGCTGATCGATGGGGCTGTCAGACCTAGGCAGATCATCACGTGGCCATCACCACGGCCAACACACAGAGAAGGCCCTTCACCCCCTAAATACCCTCGCACTGACCTTTTGGTAACTGGTCCTCTCCCCCACACCCAATTCCTGGCAAGCATCAATCTGTCTTCCGTTTCTATCATTTTGCCTTTTGATTTGATAACGTCACATAAATGCAGTCATACCAACTGTAGCCTTTTGAATCTGGCTTCTTTCACTTAGCATAAGGTATCTAAGATTCATCCATGCTATTGCATGAATCAGTAGTTTGTTCTATTTTACTGCTGAGTCGTTTATAGAGATGTACCACAGTTTATCCATTTACTAGTTGAAGGACATTTGTCAGTGACTGTGAATAAAACCGTTATAAGCATTCAGGTATACGTTTTTGTGTAGACATAAGTATATTAATCTGCTCAGGCTGCCATAAAAAAAAAAATACCACAGTCTGGGTATTTTCTCATGGCCCTGGAGGTTAGAAGTCAGAGATCAGGGTGTCAACAGGGTTGATTTCTTCTGAGGGGGGATTGTATCGTTGGCTTGTAGGATGCTGTCTTCTCTGCGTCCTCACATGGTCTTCCCATTGTGTGTGTCTGTGTCCTCATCTCTGCTTATAGGGACATCCATCACACTGGGTCAGAGCCTACCTCATTTTACCTAATTGCTTCTTTAAAGACATGATCTCCCAATACACTCACATTCTAAGCTACTAGGAGTTTCGGACTTGAACATACAAATTTGGGGGATTACAACTCAACCCTTAACACTAAAGGCTTCATTTCTCTAGAAGTGGGATTGCTGGACCATAGGGTCAATGAATGGTTAACCTTCTAAGAAGGTACCAAATTGTTTTTGTTTGTTTATTTTAAAGCTATTATATTATGTTTATTTAGATTAACAAAAGGCGGCCAAATTGTTTTCTAATGAGGCTACGACATTTTATATTCTTACCAGCAGTATGTGAAGGTTCAGTTTTCTTGCTGAGTTGTTAATAAAGATGGACCACACACAGGGTGTGCCGCCAACCTCATCAGCACTTGGTATTGCCAGCTTGCAAAATTCAGTCATTCTAATGGGTACCTAGTGGTATAGCACTGTGGTTTTAGCTTGCATTTTCCCTACTGACAAATGATGTTGAGCGTGTCTTCCCTGTGCTTCTTCTCTGTCATCCAAACGTCCTCTTTGGTGAAAAGCCTGTTTTGATTCTCACTCAGTCGCCTCTTCTGTTATTATCTTTTCTATTGAGAACGAGTCTGATTTTTGCAGTTTCTTCGTGTGCTGGGCAACATCGTATTGAAACACAGATATGTCAAATGTTATGTGGCGGAGATTCTGGATGACGCTATACTCCCACCAAGAGTGCTGATTTTTCTCTCTTAGCAAGCAACAGACTTGGATGGATTCAACCTACAAGCTCTGTTCCTTGAGAAGCGGCTCAAGACTGTTCAGTTCTCTCACTCTTATCTAGGGTGGAGTCTGCCTGACGTGTACATGATTCAGAGGTCAGCCAAAGACCAAGGCAGAATTTATATGTTGAACGTGTGGTTCCCAATCCTGGCATGCCCCTCACTTTCCAGTAAACGTAGTTACTCACATTTGGTAATCTGGTTCATCATGCCAGAAATGACCGTGAGTTTCAAATCACTCTTTACGTCTTCCCATATGGTATCAACTGTGGCTGCCCTCAGGCTAAAAGCCCAGAAAACCTGGGACCATCACCCATGCTGTTCTTTTCTTCCAACCTCCTGCTTCTCTCCAGAAGTTGCTTGCTTTTGTTCATTCTTCTCTACTCTCAAGTAGTTGTTTCCAGTACCGTGTCCAGTTTAGAGCAGCTGCATCTGCCGAAGGGTCGACTCAGTCCAAGCTTACTCAGTCACCGCTGAACGCAAAATTCCCTCCTAACTTTACTTGAAAACAAATACAAAACCTCCCCATATCACCAACTACTATGAATTATCATCAGAAAAGTTCAATGTTACAGTACTACATAAATAGATCCATTTGGAAATATATACAACCCAAACAGGTTCCTATAAGCAATAGAGATGGCGTCTTCATGTGATGGCGTCTTTATGGAAAGAAGTCAAGGTAATTCACGTTTACATTTTTTAAAAATCAAACTTAAGTTGAAAACTACAATTACATCTCTACACAACTGGAAAAAAAATTGTCCAGTGCACATTAGGAAATCAACTGGTTCCTTTCCTCTCTGTTTCTTTGGAACTAGGAATCAAAGATCTTCTAGGTGGGCTATTTTTTCCTGCAAGTCATCCCGCCTCATCCACGGCTATGATGCATTGAGCTTCCTTCTGAGAATACAACTCGACAGGCTGCTTGGAAAAGCTCTAAGTAAGTTTAAAATGCATTTTATCCTACTTAATAAGGAAAAGCTACAACCACATCACCTATTTTTCGCTTCCATCCACTGCTTGAGGGCAATTTATAAAGGATCAATAGCAAAACCGTTACCTGTGAGTTTATTTTACTAAGCATTTGACCATGTCGATCCCTTTCGTAACAGCCTCTGATTGTTAAACTTCCCTGGGGAAATGTCTTCTATGCATCCAATTCCACATGAGCCCGCCTCTCACACACACAAGACGTGTGATTAAAAAATGAATTTGTAATAAGCATTCCATTAGAGAGCACTTGTGGCAAGCTAACACATTCAGCAGAGTACCAGTAATGCAATGCATATGCCAACGGGCAGTCAACAACCCTGTCTATTAAATAAATGGAAAGGCAGAAACAAAGGCATTCCTAATGAACACACCAGCAAGTTCATTAAAACAGATTTCATCAGCAGCTAAATCCTGAAAGCTCGGAAGCCACCTGGGTGTGGCTATTTGTTCCACCATTAAAAGCCATGTGACAACTCCTGGTTGCATGGAGCAGAGGACAGACAAGAAAAAAAAAAGAAAGAAAAGGCTTCATGGGACTGTGTTGTCACAGAAGAAACAACTCCCAAAGTAGAGAACTAGGCGAGATGTAAGGATTTCCTTCCCGAGTCTAAAGAGTCAGAGAAGGAATGCTTCTCTCGTCTGCTAGAAAGCACATCCTCAGATGGGTGCTACAGAGTGCTGCCAGGGTCCGAAACGAAAAGCAGACAGGCAAGTACATTCCGTGGCCCATGCCATCAAAACAGTGAGAAGGAAAGACAGATAGCGCCGGACTCCATCAACCGTGGGAGCTAATCGGCTGCAGTCCTCGTGGGGCCTGGTTACACACGGTCGTCCCCATCCCACACGTAAACACACACCATTCGGTTTGATACCACAGAGAAACTGCTCTTACGCCAAGGCAGCACTGTCCAGTGGAAAAGTCGCTCAATCATGTCCGGAGCCCAGACTTCCAGCTCTGCCGCTGTTTCGTTCCTGCACGTACACGCGCAAGCTGGCCCAGCAATCAACCTACCTGACTCCCCAAATCTGAATGTCCCGGATGCTCACCTTGGTGCCCGACCCTACTAAGTCAACCCTCTCCCAACTCATTTTTCATGGTTTGTTTCCTCTTGAGTGCAAAGACTGGCGGGTAGCAATGAATCAGCAGTTCTGGGGGCACCGTTTCTAGTTCCGAAAACAAGTCTTTGATGTGGGAGTGCTCTGCGTCGTTGTATTACAGATTCCAATGAGGAAGAGACTGCATCTTTTTTTTCTTAGCCTAAGAAATTGAATTTCATAACTGAAGGTATGGCAAATACACCACCCTTTATATCGAAGCCTTGTTCTTAAGACAGAGGTAATAATTCGTATCTCGTTCCACAGTTCTTGGAATTGATGAATTATCTGTAATTTTTTATTTTGTGTTGGAGTCTCACTCTGTCACCCAGACTGGAGCGCAGTGGCCGCTCCTGGCCACTGCAGCCTTGACCTGCTGGGCTCCAGCGATCCTTCCGCCTCAGCCTTCCGAGTAGCCGGACTTACGGGCACGCGCTACCACGCCCAGCTGATTTTTTTTTTATTGTAGAGATGAGGTCTCACCAAGTTGCCCAGGCGAGTCTCGAACCCGCGGGCTCAGACAATTCACTCACCTCAGCCTCCCAAAGCATGGGATTACAGGCTGAGCCACCGAGGCCGGCTTATCTGTAATTTTATAAACCACAGTCAAACACCGTATAATGTTTTGGTCAGTGACAGACTGCATACATGGCTGTGGTCCCCAAAGATGATGATGGTTCTACCACAGAGCCCAGGGGTGCAGTAGGCTATATGACCTAGATTTGTGTAGGTACATTCTACGATGTTCACGCAACCAGGAAATTGCCTGCAGGTGCATTTCTCAGAACCTATCCCCATCATTAAGCAATGTTACATCCTAACAGCGGTCCCCAACCTTTCTGGCATCAGGTACCAGTTTCATGGAAGATGATTTTTCCATGGGTGGTGGGGAGGGATATGCAGGCAAACCTCACTGCTCATGTTGATCTGTATTTGCAGCCACTCCCCAGGACAGCATCACTGCCTCAGCTCGACCTCAGATCACCGGGCATTAGATTCTCATGAGGAGCGTGCAGCCTAGATCCCTCACGTGCATAGCTCATAAGAGGGTTCGGTTCACGCTCCTGTGAGAATCTAATGCCGCCGCTGATCTGACACAATGGAGCTAAGGCAGAAACGCGAGCGATGGGGAACGGCTGTAAATACGGACGAAGCTTCATTCCCTCTCCTGCTGCTCACCTTCTGCAGTTCCTGATGGGCCATGGACAGGTAACTGGTCCATGTCCTGGGGACTGGGGACCCCTGCTTTATAAAACCACCTCCTACAACTATGCAAGTAGACACGTGTGTACATACGCGCACTTTCATTGCGATCTTATGTGCCACAAAAATCCTATTACTATGCCAACAAGCTCTATTGGAACAAGCTCTTAAAGTAAGCAAAGCATGAGACTGACTAGCATCTTGCTCGTAATGAAAGGAATGACTGACGTAATCAGAGAAAACTGATTACTCATCTGTAATTTTATGATTTATATGACACCCCTAGGCTCTGGGGTATAACCATCATCAACTTGGGGGACCACAGTCATGTATGTGGTCTGTCATGACCAAAATGTTGTTATATGGTGCTTGACTGTGGTTTATAAAATTACAGATAATTAAGCTGTGAGGCCTGAGGGGCAAAGACCGTTCCATGGATGGTCTTGTCAATACCACACCACATAGAAAATGCGTGTCTAAGGGTGACGAGGCGGCCAGCTGCCTACCCCAAGGTGTCCTCTTTGCTCCATAGTATAGAATCACAGTTGGGAATCGGAAGCCCAGCCGGGACCCATTTCCAGGCCTCATGTATGGCAGGTACAGCCCCGTGACTAGTTCCCACCAAGAGAAAGAACCAGATGTAATACATGCTGCGATCGGGCTGCAGTATTTAGAACTAAGAACTTGATCTCTCCTCCCATGTGCTGGTTGGATTCCGTGATGGAGCTAGCCCAGGACTCACCGCCGTGAGACCCACCCGCTAGTCAGGGACACCCTGGACTCTTCCATCAGTGAGGCTCTGCCACCACCTTTTAGCACATTCCAGCCACAGCGCGTTTATTAGTCAATTAGTTGCTGCATCCAAGCATCATCCTCACAACTATGCAACTTGAAAGGAGGACTATTCAAAAACCACAGAAGTTTGTAATTCTTCATTGCATGGTACTCCAGTCTTGCTCGGTCAGTAGAAAGCAACTCATAAAATCTGTGGTGAACAACCGCTATGATTTTTTTAAAAACTAGGCAAGAGAGAAGCGCCTTACATTTCTGAAGCAGAAGGGAGGTGTTTCCTCCGCCCCGTGCTGCTTGTGATAATCTGCCCAGTCGAAGTCCTGGCCAGAGTAACCTGTGAATGACAAAACACAAATAGAACAGCATGAATAAGCTAAATCCCAGAAAAAAATGAAGAAAACAAGAAAGGGTGCAAGTTTGGGCCCCAAAAGGATATAGTCTCCCTAGCCGAGCAGCGCTTGAAATTTCATGAGGTCAAATAAAAGATTTTTTTTTTCTTTTCCTTCTTCTTTTTATTTTTGAGTTGGGGGGGTCTCACGATGTCACCCAGGCTGGAGTGAAGCAGCACGATCATGACTTACCGCAGCCTTGACCTCCTGGGCTCGGAGGATCCTTCTGCCTCAGCCTTCCAAGTAGCTGGGACTATAGGCATGCCACCATGCCGGGTTAGTTTTTTTATTTTTATTTTTGTAGAGATGAGGTCTCATTATGTTGGTCTTAAACTCCTGGGCTCAAGTGATCCCAGCCCTCCGGAAGTGCTGGGATTCCAGGTGTGAGCCACCGCAGCCGGCAAATGAAATATTTTGGAAAACGTTAAGTTAAATACAGGCGAGGCCTGCCATCATTACCTGGTCGCAGTGCCTGAAACCAGGGAAGTGGGGAGGGACCCACTCGCAGCAGCGCCTGCCAGCTGGGGGCTGGGAGACTTGCCCTAGGAGCAAGAGCTGGTACAGGCTAGGGCACAAAGCACAACTCCACAACTCGCTTTTGCAGAAACACAACGATGCGTCCTCATTAATACCTGCCTTCATGTAAATTCCAAGTTCATAGAAAGTGAATTCTCAGTGTCTTCACGGAAAACACGAGACTCTATGGGGGCGGGGAGAGCAGTGCAAGAGATGAGTTTTTTAAAAAGTAACAGAAGTTGGCGGGGAGGACAGTCAAGGGGTAGAGAGTCTAGCGATAAAGCGTCCAAAGACATGAAAGGGGAGGAATGCAAAGCTTGCCGTGGAACTGAGCAGCTAAGGATAAAGGAAAACGGGAACCGGGAAAGAGGGAAATGGGAAGAATGAAGCTTGAAGCACTGACAAACTGAGGAATTCTCTGAAAAACAACTATTCACACACACTGAATTTATCTAAATTCAGAACCTACCAACATGGTTTCTTTCCTTCTTTCTTTATATTCAGGCCACTGGGGGTGCAATTATAAAATATATATCCATCATGATAGCCATGGCAAAACAAAGAGAAGGTGAGAGAAGACTTCTGAATTATAAAAGAAAGGCATGACCAAGGTAGGAAAGCACCTCTTAAAGTATCACCCGCACAAAATCCAACCAATGAACAGGCATTCCGAGGAAAAGGAACTGAGGTGCTTAAACATTCCCATAAATAAGGACCGGAAATAGAAACGACAGTCCAATTATGATGGACTGAAAGCATGTAAAATGTCACTGCTATCTTCATTTACTGCTCTCCTTATTGGCTGAGGTGTATGTAAAATAAATCTATCAGGTATGTCTCAAGTAGCCTCCCAGTTGCTTTTTCCCATATTGTCACCAATTTGACGACTGCAAATTCACCTAACATAGGAACGTTTAGTTATTAAGTCACATAGTTGCACATGGACTACAGAAATTCTTTATTACAGAAAACTGTAGACACTGATGCCTGCTACCGCCCTCTGTATTCTCAAGATCAAACTGATACTATTTTTTATTAAGTTCAACTTACCCACATTTTTAGGATGGAAGGGTGGGCAGTTAACCCAGAAAGCACTGTCCTCCTCTGGTCCCAGAGACTGACCTTTGACTCTCCTGTATCCTGCTGACCATCAGCGACAAAGTGTCTGCCCCTTCTCTCTTAAGACAACTGTTCCACTCTATAAAGATTGACAACCCTTTGATACATGCAGTCCTACACTCAATCTCTAGGGAGCCACCTCTAATCTAATAATTTCTAAATATAATCAAGTCTTGCTGGGTACATTCTAAGCAACAATTAATGATTCTGCCCCGAGAATGCGCTCAGTTTCTCAAATATCAGAAGGGCTTAGACTCTGAACCCCTCTTCTTCCTCTTCCTTTTAGGGCACTTTCTTCACTTCATCACTTAAAATTCTTTTCCTTTTGGACCGATAATGAGCTCCCTTTTGTACAGCAGTTTTGTGACAGCTCAGAAAATAACTGCTACATAAAAACAAATTGCTGTGGATTATATAATGGAGACAACAGGGGTCAATTATACTCATTAATCAACAAAGACAGAAAGAGAAGTACAGAGGCTTAACTGCAGCTAGGGACACATGTTTTAAACCTGGAGGGAGGGAGGGAAACAGCAGAGGGGAGAAGAAAATAAAAGGAAATAAAACCCCTTAGGCTATTAAAATTTGCAACGAGCTGCCACGGGAGACCATTGAACCACAACCATTAGAGTTATTTAAGCTTTTATTAGTGTTTATTCTGAACGAGGTTCCAGCCCTTACAGGTCCAAAAGGGAAGAGGTTGATGACCCGTTTCCCTCGGATACAAATTAATTGACATGAAACAGCTCGACTTGCACTGATGACTATTGGCAGTGCAAATGGACAAGTCTTTGGAAAAACTATTTGGCAGTAAAAATGTCCCCGCCGTTTGACACAGCCATTTCACTTCTGGGAACTTATCCCATAAAAATGATCCTAAAAACTGAAAGAGTGTTATACGTTAAGATACTTAGGGCTGCTGGGCTCGGTGGCTCAGCCTGTAATCCCGCGCCTTTGGGAGGCTGAGGTGAGTGGATGGCCTGAGCCCGCGGGTTCGAGACCCGCCTGGGCAGCGAGATCTCATCGCTACAATAAATCAAAAAATCAGCTGGGCGTGGTAGCGCGTGCCTGTAATTCTGGCTACTCGGAAGGCTGACACGGAAGGATCGCTGGAGCCCAGCAGGTGAGGCTGCATTGGCTGGGAGCGGCCACTGCACTCCAGTCTGGGCAACCGAGTGAGACACCAACTCAAAAAAAAAAAAAAAAACCAACAACAACAACAACAACAACAAAAAGATACTTAAGGTATCATGATTGATCACACTGGGAGAAAAAAAAAAAACGATAAGAACTTTCCACGCTATAATAGGAAATGAGATGAGACTTATGCGAGCCTACAGAATGTCACATGGGCATGAAACTGCACGTAGTTTAAAAAAAAATCATGAAAAGAAATTGCTGTAGCTTTAGATAAAAATATTGCTACAAAAAAATGAATAGATTTATATACAAATATGCAAAGAAAAAGACCAGAGGAAATGTAAGAAAAACTTAAGTATCACGATCACTGTTTGGGCAGTAAACTTTTGGTTACTTCTTCTCTCCCTCAACTTGTTTCTCTTTTCCAAATTTTCAATAATGATCACAAAATTATTTCATCAACACAAAAATTTGAAAATATAGCATCCTTGCTCTATTTAAGAAAATAAAGACCTGGTCAATCAACCAAGGGTCTTTCTTGTCTGCACAATACACACAATTGCTTCCCACAGCCTTCCTCCAGCTTTGGGCCTGTAACAAAATCCTGATTTTTATCCTGTTCCTACAGAAAGTGAATTGTGACTACCTAACACAATCATGGTGGCCACGTGCTCCTTGCCTGTGGTTTAAGATAAGGGTGGGGAAAGATTTTTTTAAAAATTTCTCTCTGATAAAAGAGACGTGCAGAAATGAAAGCCCCTCTTCCGTGCTGGGTAGTTGTGAAAAACATGTACAATATTAATTTAAAAAACAGCAAGAGAATATCATGATTGCCATCCACCTGATTGGCAAAATGAAAAACAATACTAAGAACCAACCATTCTTTTTTTTTTTTCTTTTAGAACCCACCATTCTAAAGGCTGTTAGGAGATAGACACTTCTAGGCATTTCTGGCTGGAATGTAACTTGAACCACCGATGCAGATGTCAATTTGGAACACGTCTCAAAGTCTTCAAGAATGCATCCACCCTCTAGGCCAGGAATTTGTTCATGCAGACACTCACTCATTCAATAGTCCTGTGCTAGCACAAGCCAGGTGCAAGGCATGGTTCTAATCCTCGGGATGGAGAAATGAACGAAACCAACAAAAATCCTTACCCTCAGAGAGCTTACGATTCAGGGAGAGGAGACAAATGACTCACAAATATAAAAAGTAAGATGAACCGGGCACGGTGGCTCACACCTGTAATCCCAACACTTTGGGAGACCAAGGTGAGAAGATTGCCTCAGCCCAGGAGTTCAAGACCAGCCTGGACAACATAGCAAGACCTCATGTCTACAAAACGTCATAAAATTAGCCAGGTGTGGTGGCATGCACTTGTTGCCTCAGGAGGCTGAGGCAGAAGGATTGCCTGAGCCTAAGAGATATAGAGCCGTGGGCATACCATTGCACTCCAGCCTGAGTGACAGAGTGAGACCCCAACTCAAAACAAACAAACAAAACAAACAAACATCATCATCAACAACAACAACAAAAAACAGTAAGATGATCCCCAGGGTCATAGAGAAAGTGAGAAGGGTATCCAGGGACAATTGCACTTGTGCACAGAGGACTCAGAGAGACTTCGATGAAAAGATGAACACTGCAAGGCCAGGTGGCTCAAGTCTATCATCCCAGCACTTTGGGAGGCCGAGGCGAGAGGATTGCCTGAGCTCAGGGTTCGAGACCAACCTGAGCAACTTGGCAAGAATTCATCTCTACAATAAATTAAAAAATAAGCTGGGCATGGTGGCATGCCCCTTAGTTCCAGTTACTTGGAAGGTTAAGGTGGAAAGATAGTGTGAGCCCAGCAGATCGAGGTTCCGGTGGCCATAAGTGTGCCACTGCACTCCAGCGTGGGCGACAGAGTGAGACTCCCACTCACAAAAAAAAAAAAAAAAAAAAAATGAGCACGACAAGGTCGGGCACGGTGGCTCAAGTCTGTCATCCCAGCACCTTGGGAGGTTGAGGCGAGAGGATTGCCTGAGCTCAGGGGTTCGAGACCAGCCTGGGCAACCTGGCGAGACAATAAGTCAAAAAATAAGCTGGCATGGTAGCGCACGCATGTAGTTCCTGTTACTTGGAAGGCTGAGGTGAAAAGATCGCGTGAGCCCAGCAGGTCGAGGCTGC